AGAACGAAAAATCCATATGTGGCACACATAAGTGTATGAATACAATGAATTCTCAGGAACAAAAATAATTTTCATTTATAGTTTATTTGTTTCTTTTCCGTAAAACGAGTTATAAACAACAAATAATTGATCATCTATTATAAAAAATCATATAACAAGCACAATAATAAATTACAATCTGAACGCAACGTGCGCACGATATTTCGATTACAAATTAATATTAAAACAAACAGCAGCGGCAATAAATTCTTGTTCGCTTTATATTTGACGAAATTCACCCCTCTCCCCTTCACGGTGATTAATTAATTATTCGAAGAAGTTAATTACTGCGTGACCCGAAAACGCGCTTTTTCCACCGTGTCCACCGGGTATCATCAGTTATACGCGAAATCAAAGTCAGTATTTCCTACTTGCTTGGCCCATCGGGAAAACAGTGGTACTGACCGCGTTCGCGTAATTTAATTTCTCCTTAAACCGAAACATCCATCTTGGCAGGACATATATATCCTTGCTTGATATAAATAGCGACCAAGATGCTTTCTCGGATGAACAGTTATATTTGAAAAAAGAAATGATTGATCGATAGAAAAAGAAAAGAGCGATTTGTTATTGCATGAAGTTATATATAAAAATCACAGAATATTGTATCACCAAACAATAACAATAAGTATCAGAGAAATGCGAGAAAAAGAAAACACATAATATGTAATTACGTTTCAGATTAGTTGTACATTTCAGTGTATGATTTTTCTATTTTTATTTCTGGTCAATCGACAAATATATATATATATATACATATACATGTTTACGCTATACGTTTATGTTATATCTTTCATAGATAATAATTAAAAGAAAGAAATATAATTTATATTCTATAACTTAAACTCGTATCATTTGTGTTATCAGTAACTGATAATAGATTCAGGTCATATGATATTTTCGCTATTAAAGAAAATAGATTATTATAAAATATTTCGTAATATGAATCAAATGGAATTAGAATTATTATGTTTAATACATTTTTCGCGTGTCATTATTCATCGATGATTCTTTCTATGCATCAGTATCACGCAAAAAAGATCTATATATCAACAAATAAATCATAATTTAAAAAAAACCATTGTTGAAAAATTATGTACAATACGATTGAATGTTGTTATTGTCTTTTATGCGATGCTAATTAGTTTTTTTACTGTACATTTATTTCGTACATCGTAAATCGTGAACTATTGTTACAGCGCTAATCATTTATTTTGATAATTTTGCTAATTTTTATATATTTTTATAGAGAATTTGTTAGAGAAATGTTCCCTGTAAAAACTCTCCCACGCAAGGACTCTGCGATGCGTAAATCCAGTATGGATGCGGCGTTTCAGCGCACAGCTGGCGCTTGTGAGCGAGTGTTATTCGTTCGCGTGTAATTCTCAGTCGTTTCTTGAGTAAACTTCAAACAATGACGCGGATGGGAATATGGAAATAACGTCAGAGAAAGAGAACTGTCGACTGAATAAAAGATTTTTCAAATAATCGATATTTCGGAGTAGCGCGCTAAAACGCGTAGGGTACACATTAGATAATTGAGTTTAGGAAAAGCTCTTTGGAAAATTCTCTTTTTTTGTAATGTCAGTAACATTAATAGCTCAACCGGTGCACATAATTTTTGCAGGATACTCAAACTCAGGTATACTTCATTTCCATAAACCTTCGATAAGCGTTTGATTTCTAACGCACTACGTTCAATTTTATCCTATCAGCTTTAATCAAGGCCAAACAAATTAACGAAAATGACAGTATGAATAATAAAGATAGGAAAAAAATCTCAAAATTTTAGTTTTTCAATTTAATACAGGACATATATATCGAATTAAAATGTTTACAGGACATAAAACTCGATTAAAATATTTTGTTTTTAAACAAAGGACAATATTTTTCATTTTCCCGGTCTTTCTTTTCCCTCACATTTGAATTCTATGTGATTAGAAACAATTGAAAATAATAAACTAGCAACACGTTAAATAACGGCTAACATTCTGAATATAAATTCTGGAAATAAAATCTCTTCAAAAAAAATTTTTTTTGTGAAGAGTAACTAGACTTAATATATGTATATTGATTTGCATTTATTCGCGTTATAATTATTTTCCTTGCTTCCCATGTACTTAGTTTTCATGAAAATGCAACGAGTGTGGTTATGCCGGCTAATGTTTACTAAAGTTGCTAAAGTAAATTATATTAAACAGAGCTTATTAAATACAAATTTGCATAATCGTGCAGGATGCAAGAGAAAGAAGTAGTAAAAAAACATGAATTTATATATGAATTTGTATACAAATAAATACACGGCACTTTATACAGAATTTTTATACATCTTCTTTAATATATAGGATTTGTTTAAATATACGGTTATTTAAGAATCTTTTTGGGATATCTGTTCATTGTAGATTTTATTCAATTTCAATTATAGTTTCTTATCGTCATTAACTCGCCTGACGATAATCTTTTTTTATATCAAAGCATTAATTAAATAATTAATTAACATTTTAATTGAACAGATATTAATCTTGAATTAAAAGAGATATTTAGAGAGAAATGTATTAATTGCACTGTGCTCAAATAATAAAAATGTGTATGTATAAATATTAGAGTACGAGAAATTTATGTGTATATGTATATTTGATATTATATATACTATATATATATATATATATAACATTTCCAAATTAGAATTATATGTCATTAATAAATAATACGTAATTTAAGTTAAAAGAAATCAAGATATGTATTTTGACTATGGACAATAGGGCAATTTTTTTATAATAAATATATGATAGAGATAAAGCATTTTATGATAAATATGCCTTTGTTGTTGTAAGCTCTAGAAAGGTATATCATATTATTAATCCTCAAAACGATGCAGATTAATTTGATTTTATGTTTTTAGCTCATCTCGTTGGATATACCATAATGTTATTCATTAAACGTAATGGCATTTAACATTTTTAATGGTTGCCACGATGATCTATTACATGAATATGGAAACGAAATCAGAAATGGACAGGTTTGTTAGCGAAAATTGGCTCCGGTTTATATCGGCGATAAATTAAATAAATTTTGAGTAAATAAACAAAAATTATGTCATCATTCAGTGAATAGGATGCCGCGACTCTCTACCAGTTTTCCATCAAAATCAACCGAAATTACGGCTCATGCATTATCAAAGAGATCAAAATTACGTCCCGTAAATTAAAGGGAAGATATTTATTCATTGCATTATATGCCATGTGAAGAACGAAAAATCCATATGTGGCACACATAAGTGTATGAATACAATGAATTCTCAGGAACAAAAATAATTTTCATTTATAGTTTATTTGTTTCTTTTCCGTAAAACGAGTTATAAACAACAAATAATTGATCATCTATTATAAAAAATCATATAACAAGCACAATAATAAATTACAATCTGAACGCAACGTGCGCACGATATTTCGATTACAAATTAATATTAAAACAAACAGCAGCGGCAATAAATTCTTGTTCGCTTTATATTTGACGAAATTCACCCCTCTCCCCTTCACGGTGATTAATTAATTATTCGAAGAAGTTAATTACTGCGTGACCCGAAAACGCGCTTTTTCCACCGTGTCCACCGGGTATCATCAGTTATACGCGAAACCAAAGTCAGTATTTCCTACTTGCTTGGCCCATCGGGAAAACAGTGGTACTGACCGCGTTCGCGTAATTTAATTTCTCCTTAAACCGAAACATCCATCTTGGCAGGACATATATATCCTTGCTTGATATAAATAGCGACCAAGATGCTTTCTCGGATGAACAGTTATATTTGAAAAAAGAAATGATTGATCGATAGAAAAAGAAAAGAGCGATTTGTTATTGCATGAAGTTATATATAAAAATCACAGAATATTGTATCACCAAACAATAACAATAAGTATCAGAGAAATGCGAGAAAAAGAAAACACATAATATGTAATTACGTTTCAGATTAGTTGTACATTTCAGTGTATGATTTTTCTATTTTTATTTCTGGTCAATCGACAAATATATATATATATATACATATACATATATATATAATACTAAATTAAAATCTCACTCTTAAAAATATCAAGCAGCAAACACTTCAGAATGTGGATTTTGATTTTAATTATGAGCTCGTTAATCAGAGCGGTTTAACCTGAAAACTTTATGCCGCTAACCGCGTTTGTTTTCTGTACCTAATGTTTATCTTTCACGGTCTTCCGCACACTGCGACTGGTGATTCTGGTGATGATTAAAACCGGTAATGATGATGGGACCCGTTTTCTCGACCGCATTTACGTTAAATTTCTCTTGTTTACCAAGAGACATGAATATGAAAGAGCTTTTCTAGGATAATTATACATAATTTCCACGGTGCTCTTATTAAAATCGTTACGGTCTTCCTCTTGTTTTTTATTTCGATCCGTCGAAGATGGATAACCAGCGTACTTTTGAAGAAGCAGCTCTGCGTAGCATTATCATATTAATATCGTTAGTGATAAAATATTCGCGCAAATCATTTGATGTTAGATCATAATTTCGTAAAAATGCCCTTAACGCTATTGTGGTTTGTTCTTCTTCGTTTGTAATTCTCGAAATCAAAAGATACATAACACTGAGAAAATTTAAATCCGATAATAATAAAAATAACGATAATGGAAATAATAAAAAAATATAGAAGCAATAATAAAAAATTCTCAATTTAAAATAAACTCTTGTTTCGAAATAAAAATATTATTTTTATAAATACATTATGTATATAGGTTTCTAGAGTTAAATGAATGATCTTGTTTGTTGGATTCTATATGTGCATTTGACAGCACATATAATAACCGAGAGAGAGGGAGATACATCCCCCATAGTATATATGAAAATATATTGATATATACATACTCTCTCGTGTGCGCAAGACGATTAGGGTGATCTCGTGATTAACTGCACGTCTCGCATGAATTTAGACGCGCCGGAGACGAGATTAGTCGGCGTCCCAACCGGCCAGCTCGAGGAGGGCCGCGATCAACTGGAAATCCGATGTCTCGCCGACGCTAATCCGCCGGCTTCGATACTTTGGAGGAAAACGAAAAGTCCTGGCGTGACCGAAGTAGCCAGTATTGGAGAAACCCTGATGTTCTCCCCGATTTACAGAAATCACGCCGCCGTTTACCTCTGCGAGGCATCCAACACCGAGGGGGAGAGCAGTCCGGTCTCGGTCCAAGTATCCGTAAACTGTACGTGTGCCGTTGCTATATCGTCGCTCTAATTCGTCATCTTTACTCGATTTCAAATTTTTTTTTTGTAGCTATTGGCAATTGATGTGATATTGAAATTTTCTCATTGCTCTGATTGTTATGAAATAATTATGTATCTTACAATTAAATTATTATTTTATAGATATGTGTATATATCAATTTAATTCTTAAAAGATACAGGTTTAGAGCCACTAGAAACTGCCATCAAAAATCGTTCTTTAATCATAACTTTATTTATCAATCTCAGAATAAGCTGGTTTTTCATAGATCCACCGATGATCAGCGCAGTCGGGCCAGATCGATTAACAACTGCATTGTTGTACTCTGGTGCGTCATTCGAATGTCACGCAGATGCGATGCCGCCGGCTGAATACAGGTGATTTAAATTAATTACTTGATTTTTCATTTTTCTAGGTTCTGTACATTTATACGCGCATCAATAATGTAATTTAATCACACACATTTGAATTCATTGTAATTTTTTCATATAAAGGATATTATTTAAAATAGTATGTTTGCTATTGACTATTGACACATCGCATTATGAATATATATATTTATTTTATATTATAGGAATATGCAGGTACCTATACATAATATTTTGTGCCATCAATTTTTAATTTTTAACTATTTTAATCTTTCTTTTATTAGAGATTCACATCTCATAGCTTTGACGTCTCTTACATTTCCCTGGAAAAACACTATTAATTTTTTTTTACATTTTTTTCTTACATTTTTTTAAATATCTTTTTGGTTACCGTATATTTCTACCGTGGTAAATTCAGATCTCAGAGTGCCTTTAATCTACAAATTTCTCCGGTTGCGCGTGTGCGCAGATGGGCGCAGATATTCACGGACGGCCGCATGCCGTTGGAATGCGGAACGGGGCAGCGATTGATCCTGACGAACGTGACGTACGAGCAACAGGGTCAATATATATGTCTTGCCTCCAACAAGATCAATGGCAACGTCAGGGAAGTTAAAAGCGACCCTGTGTCCCTGCAAGTGGTCGGCGCTCCAAGGGTAAGATGACGCGTCGCCGGGACGCGAAACGTTTGAAAAAATGCCGCTGCAAATCAGAATTATCGAGGGGGGCAGCCGACGTTGACGAATAACCGTTTCCGGCGGATCTGTCGCGAAAAAATATCGCTTCGTTATTTGCGGAATCCCGAATCATCGAATATCTGTCGCGTATGCGCGTTGAAACAGGATACTCGCGAATACATACTTCGCTTTCTGTCGTTCAACTTTAAAAATTTTCCAGACGCAATATTGGCGAAGAGAAATTAATAGGGTGTAGTTTGCGTAACGAGACAGAAACGTTGCTCTCATGCATTAATCCCATTTCGTTTCATTATCTCGTAGAGAAACAATATACCGAGATAAACTTAAATTGCCTTAACGGCAATAACTTCGCGCTAAAAAGAAGATCGTAAAATAATCGATTGTTTAAAGAGATTATTTGATAAGCAAATTAAAATTTATTATATTATATATAGTATTTTTATGTATATATTATTTTTACCATAATTCAAAGTTAATGCATTCTACAATATTGCTTGTTAGAGCAAAGTAAATTCTATGCATCGATTTCTAATAATAATGATAAAACGCACATTTTTTTGGCAATATACAAACCGGTATATATATATCAAGTAGAGACACCTATGTGACTTCAAATACATTTTTAATGGCAATATGCTTTGTAGTTTTTCTGTCGTCAACAATAAGCTTCCATCAAGTTTTATTGCGCATTGTACATGATATTAAAAATCGATACCTTCGTTAATCGTAACGAATACCATATTGTTTCTCTCAAAAGAATGCCTCTCGATGTTATATAGACGCAAATCTGCTTTTGTTCTACTCGAATGCATGAAAATAACTGTAATAACAATTAATTGGAAAGGTTCACTTCAATGCTTTCGCGTACAACAATTCATATCATATAAATACGCGCATAATCGTTGTAACGAGTTTTTAAATAAATTTCCACTGTGCTTAATTCATCAGAGCATATTCGGCATTAATCGGTTTTTTATCTATGTTCTCGGGTGCAACGTTGCGAATAAAATGTCTAAATAACAGTAACGTATATACGGGCAAAGATTGAGTTATGTATTGCAATTATTGTGATATTATAGTGTTTTGCAATTCAACTCTATTCAGTGACCAATAGCTAATTACTCGATTAATAATACCGATAACGTAAATGAAAAGACCTTGATATATTGCGATATTTCTTTTTTTTTTTTTTTTCTCTTTATTCAATTTGCCCATCGGCAGATCGCACGCGACTTAATGCGGGTCACTGGCTACGCAAAGGTTTGATTTCCGTTTCATTTAATACGAAGCTGTTTCATCTGTTCAGCAATGCTATTAATGTCAATATCTCGTGCAAATTGGTTTTGGCGTTGTGCGTACATACGGTTTGTGTTACATATTCACCTCGAGAGTCGAATATCGCGTATTGAAAGGAACAATCGAAATTTTTATTATACAAGCTATTTCATAGGCACGGTGTTTGAAAATCAACCTGAAACGTTGATATGCGCGCGACGTAATCAAATCAACGTTTTAATTATGTACGCAAATACGATATAGTTTCGCTGTTATAAACATTGCGAAAATGATGAATATATATATATTATTATATTTGCGCGAGCACGTTTCAATACACGATTGATGAAACAGAGGATTTTGAAACGCGATACGGCAGAGATGAATACGAATTATTTCGGCGAATTATCCGTAGCATGAAGAAATATATCCGTATTGTAGTATTTTTATTTCGCGATAAACACGGCACACAATATCGCATTGAATTGAGCTATAATGCGCGCATCATAAATCACAGATTCCTCTTTTCGCGATGGAAAACTGTATTCATAGCGGGAGTCTCTGTCTGTGAATGAAATATCATTTCGCTTTCGTATCGAATGCTTAGTCATTCGTACCTAAATTAAGTCGCAATTTTCATCGTGTCGCTACCATTTTTCCTGATAATGTCTCTTTCATGAAGGTTACGATATATTGGCGAGATAAAAAAAATCGCGACTATATCCGTGTTTCAATTTTCATCATAAACATTTCCGTGCCATTGATTAATCGCCACTATGTATTTGTCAACTGTTTATATAAAGTATATTACGTTTTTATGTGTTGAATTTCGTGTGCGACAAGCTGTAATTTATTTATTTATTTTTTTTTTATTATGTCGTTTCATTAGAACTTTGACATAATACAGAAACTAAGATACGTTTCGCTCGCAAAACGGCACACCGTGAAATCGTTTGTCAGGAAGCGATTCGTAGCGTTCACGTTCGTCGTTTGATGAAAGGGATGGAAAGGAAAAGGGAGGGACGGCCGCAGTAACGAACTTTCCATTCAAAGGATGTTAAACATGTGTCGCAGGTGGTGAAGCCAGCCATCACAGAGAAGTTCGTCGTCGTAACGACGGAGGGTAGCCCGGCCAGATTAGAGATCAGACTGTGCTCGGACCCGAAGCCGCGGCTCGTGGCCTGGGAATGGGGCAGCACCAGACTACACGCCGGTTAGAGACTGTTTGCCTTAAACTATCACAAGAAGTGTTCGATTTCGTCCTCGGTTTGGTCTTTCCTCTCTCCTATGCGTATTCTGTTTAAGGAAATTCTGCATCGAGAGACAATAAAATAACGTAGATAACCGACAGAAGCAAATAATAGAGAATCGAACTTCTACTTTAAAATATATACGGGGGTAACATTTAATTTAGACAATTGGATCAATTTGAAGTATTATATTGTTATTTTAACTTTATCTCATTGTTGCATAATATTGGTATCAATTTCTATTATTTGAGTTATTTTTTATAAGAAGGTATGTAAAAAAGGAGTATGCTAAAGATATAATTTACGAACTGAAATTTTTTGAAAAGGTACGTGGAGGATTGTCATAAATCTTTATATGGAATTCACATTAAAAGTAGAATTGTAAAGGATTAATCTAGCTTTTATAAAATGAAGAAATAATGTCGTTATTTACAAAAGTAATTGTAAAGCGATAGATGCGTTCGGATTGTGCTCGAATAAAAGACATTATTCGAAATGGATAGGGCCAATGAATTAATAGGTCGACCAACGAAAACTTTCTATTAAAGTTTAAGGGAACATTGATCACCTGGCTGCTTTGTTTTACTATTCTACAATAGCGCTTTAGATTGCTCACCACGCGAGCCAGCCGCAAACGATAGCCACGCTCTTTATCTTTGTAAACGTCTCGGTAAACACGAGCTACACACAGGAGCAACATATGTACGAAAGAGATACCACTTTCGAAGCACGTTGTTGGCGTGTAAAATTATTACGACCGCGACGACGAGCTGACTCGATTTTACTTTGTTTCGCTTTGACTTTCATCTCTCAGCCATCACACAACTTTGCTCTGCAATTCTTCGTTCGTTATGCGTCTCCGCGAAACGAAACCCCCATCACCTCGTCTAACGAACCATTAACGTATAAACTTTAGTTTTTATTTGGAATATTACAAATAAAGCCGGTGTGTTAATTATTAATGTTTTCTTCTCTTTCTTTTTCTTTTATGCTTTTTCGCGAAAGTATAACGTTAAACTTTCCTCCTTCGTTGAACCAGCGAAAAAAGCACTCGAGCTTTTCTCCGGGATTGCCCCTTCGTACACATTTTTTTTTTTTTCCTATGCTTCTCGGCATAATTGGCACTTCACCATGGGTACCTTATCGACGATCCCGCCGTTGCACAGTCGCAATTACTCCCTGGTTAATTGATTATTCGCCCGTAACACGAGCTACGAGATCGTTTCGGTCTTGAGACATCCGTCCAATTTCCGCAAAACCCAAATCGATGCACTCTACTCGCGCCGTGTATTTTTTCCCCTCCATCGTTACCCGAGATACCGGACGATTAATTAATCTCTGTTGACACGGGTTCTTCGCGCCCGGATAATTACTTACACTATCATAAACTGTATATAATATTTAAGAACTTTATATTCCGTGTATATTTTTGGGATTATTTCTTTATGTTTTATTAATATTATTTATTATTTTTTAGCTTTTTTTTTAATGATAACGCTTCGTTGATTTGGTTTTTATTACTTGTTTTTATTAATTTTCTGTTATTTTTTTATGTGTATTAATTGTCTATTATTTTGCGAAATTTTATTTCAGTTGTTCGTAGAAACGGAAGAATACAAATTGTCGAGAGATGCATGGATTCGTTCTATTATCGACAGGTGAAGTTCTGGAACCGCGTTATCGCGCGCTCGATCTGGAGCCGCTGGCTTCGGAGGATTGTTACATAGCGATCTTAGAGTTGACAAGTACGGTAAAAGAGGATCAAAGGCTGTATCATGTTATCGTGGAGAACGATCGTGGCAGTGACAGACGAGCGCTCATGCTGAAAGTCGATGAGCCCGGTCAGGTAAATATTACACACGCGTATACGCGCGCATACACGTACACACAGTTGAAATATTTTACGAATTACAATATATTTTTAAAAGACATCTTCCAACATCTAAAAGACAAATTTTTCTTATAAACAAATTAAAAAATATATATTTACATTAATAAAATTCTTATGAAGTAAAATATAAAGAGAACTTGTAAATTTATATTATTATTTTATGATTGACGTGCGTATAATGCACAAACAAATGCTAAAAAATATTTATAACTTTTATAAATTACGTACTATATATACGTATGTGCGTGTGAATGTTATACAAACGTCCGCGCGAAATGTTTCTCGGCGAATATAGAATATTCCTCTCTGCCGCAGATCCCGCTCGTTATCGGCGCGGTAGCTGGATTCACAGTGCTCTCGGTGCTGATAATGGGATTCGTTTGTTTCCTACGTTCGGATAGATGCTGCGTAGCCAGAAACACAGTACCGGCACTGCAGCAAGTGCATTGGTAAGCACGCGATATTGCGCTGCGCGGTGATTTATAGACGAGTAGGCGCCGCCGTGGATCACGCGCGATGCTCCAATATTGTGTACATTTGAACAGAACTGCGCTAGAGTATATCTACGAATTTGCATACGCAGTGATACGAGATTTTTATTGCAAAAATACATATATTTTTCAAACGGATGGGGAAATTTTTCTGAATCTTTCATATCTCGTTCTATCAAAAACAAAAAAAAAAAAAAATTAAGAGCAAGAAAACATTTATAGAAGCATCTTCTTCTCTCACTTTTTTAGATTTTGATGATTTAAATTTCTTTTCAAGCTAAATGATCCTTAGAGAATTACTTTAAAAGTATTATCTAAAAAGCATTTTCTCACGTGTATCGCGCGTATACAACAAAGCGTCTCTAATGAAACAGAACCAGAATAATATATCCGCCGTTTCTACAGTACAAAGGCTTCCAACGCTATGATAGATGATCCACGTTTGGCAGTGGATACGATGGAACGTACGAGTCAGCAGTTCGTTCCGGAGAAGCGAGCCAATCACGTTCTCAAACCCGTCCCATCGCAGCAATAGCTATCAGCACGACCAACATCAACAGCAACATTATCAGAGGCATCATCATCATGGACAGCCTCACGGACAATACACATTGCAGGTCAGATAAGTTGCAAATAAGACAGAGAAAAATAAACGAACTGCTCTCGCATAATTAAAATCTGGCGTGCTTTTTGCGTTACTTTTTCCCTCTTTCTTTCTCTCTCTTTCTCTCTTTCTTTATTGAATTATTTATTACACTATTGCCTCCGAATTGCACATAAAGTTTGCAGCAAGTTTCCGACACGATTCCTTGAAACACATTCGAAATTAGTTATTTCGATTTTAGTTGTTGCGATTGTAGAGTTTTGCACGGCAAGCTTTTGCTAAAAAAAAATGGTTCATAAAAAAATTAAAAAATTTTATAAAAAAATTATAAAATTGATTTTACAATGGATATATCATAATTGGTGCATTCTATACTATCATAATCTTCTATCAAATAGCTCTAAGTAGTAAAAGATGCATTTCTTTTTATCTCTTTGTCTAAAGTATAGTATTTATATTTATTTACATTTGTATTTGTATTTATACGTCTTTTTTATGCAAAACTCTACTCGCTCTCGTTACTGTATAGTGTACATTAATCTTATCACAAAATTCATATTCTTCCTCGATTTTGCCGTGTCACCGACCAACACGTCACTAGTTATTAGCTATTCCGCTTTAAACAAGATTCTTTTTTAACTGCTTGCTCACTTTGCACTCGCTCGAAAATAGCTACCTGACCAAAGCACGCGCGTTTAAATTTAATCGTTGCATTCGCGAAAGCAAAACTGCAAGTGCATGCAACTTGACCTGAATGCGAGACGAACCGTTCGGATTAAGCACAGCGATTTAACTAACGTAGTCAACGGATTGATATTAATGTATATTTCTGCCGGTTAATTCGTCGGATTGTTTGTCGGTGACTATCGTATTAATTTTTCAACCATTTGCTTTCGGGGGCTCGTCAAATAAAATGAGAGAAAATATAAAATTGACGATTTGTTTAAAACGTTGACGCGCCCCGCACGTCCGTATATAACCATTAATTGAATCAATGAGCGAGCAATCTTGGCGCAGGAAAAATTCCTTCTACAGGACGAGGAACGGGACACGCTAAATCGGATTAAAAAAGGCAAGGAACGAGGAGCGCAAACTTTCCACCTTTTCTCCCGGAAAGATCTCGAAGGTTTTATATATAAATAAAAAGATTGTATTTGTTCTCTCTCTCTCTCTCTCTCTCTCTCTCTCTCTCCCGATATACACGACCAACGTGGAAATGTAAAAATATAAACAGACGTTATTATACGCTTTAATGTACCAAACGCACTCTATTAAGTCGTCCAAAAATTTGTTGGTACTTTTCGCTGATGAAATGACGTTAAGAAATGTGCGCGTACGTCATTCTCGCTCGCGATTTTACGCGCGTAAAAGTTTATTACGATGTTATGATCGTTATGTAATGTAACTATGCGATTATATAGGAACGACATTATCCATTAGAGAAGTTTTTAGACGATCCAATGTTAAATTACGATACTTATGCAGAGACACGCGTTGCTCGCGCAAGTATCACGTTCTCCGATCGCGATAGTCGCTTGAGTGATTTATGCGTTCGGTAGGGTGCATTACGCATGCATTTGGTTGCATCTAGTTTCTGGGTGTCCCTCAACCAATTACCGCTGTGTCCTTGTTTGTAATTTAATTTAGATAGATGTACATAAGTAGAGCGTGTCGACGATAATGCCGCCACCACCCTATCCTGCCGATTAAACGCGCGTATTCCCATTTATAGAGAGCGCACCGTATCTTATTTTTGTAAAAAAATAACCGAATTAAGCTGAATTGAACGGAATTCGCTTGAGATTGAAATGCTTAATCATAAACAGAATTCCTATCGATTCACTCGAGTTTGGCTCATTTCTCGCGCGGATAGCTCATTTCGTGTTGTTTTGATTTCGCTTGCATCCAGAAAGGAGCGTATTCTCTGCAGCCGCGCGTCCTGCGGGATTCAAGAACGTAAGACTGAACTCGGCCGAGATCGCCGAATTTACGCTTTAAGTAGCAGCACTTGACGACGGACGAGCGATCGCGCAACGAGATCACCAATCATTTCGAAAACGTACAATAGTCGTAATTAATTATTACGCAAAAAACATTACTGCCGTGTCCAATACTGCCCGTCTTAAAAAAGAAAAAAATTATATAGGCGCGATTAGCAAATATCAATATTATACAAATATTTTCTTCTTATACATTTATTAATTAATCAATGAACGAGCAATCTTGCCGTAGGAAAAACTCCTTCTACACGAGAAACGGGACATGTTAAATCGGATTGAAAAAATCAAGAGGAGCGCGAATTTTTTATTTCTTTTTATCGGAGAAAGATGTCAAAGATTTTATATATAAATAAAATATTGTACTTGTGTGTGTTTCTGACACACGACCAACATGCAGATATACATATAGTATGTATAGTATATACGTTATGCGCTTTAATGTGTACCATACGCAATCTCTATTGGATTGTTCCAAAGTTTACTGCGCATCGAGATCATCAAACCGTTTCGAAAATATATACCAGTTGTAAGAAAAAATAATTATAATTAATTAATACGTGAAACTCATTACTGCCGTATTCAATACTGCCCTCTTTAATAAAGAAAAAGTTATAGGCGCGATTAGCAAATATCATTATTACAAACGCATTTTTCTTTCCACCTAATCGTTGACATCGTGTATTTGAAATGCTAAACATTGTAAAAGAACCGTCGGAGATCACATTGAAGAATGTTTGTATGATAAGTATTAATTAGTCGAAACTATGCTCATTACGATTTAACGACGATATATTGCTATCTCATTAACATTAAATATATTATATAAGTGCATATGTACATACACATATACATATATCCGTTTAGATCACGATCCTGACGTACGAATCGTCGTCCAATAAATGAAAGTTTGATGTTAACAGCGATGTAATCGCCCACCTTCACGTTCGCGGTATATATACAGTGTGCTTCTACATCGCTGTTGCAAAGAGTAGTTTAAACAGCTGACAGCCAGTGATTTGATTCGCATTTGTATAGTAGTCGTATACGCGAATAATTTATCCGTTCGAGATAGACTCTCGAAAAACGGAGAACCAAACTGTACAGACCGTTTCAGAGTGCGTCGACCAACGAGTGAGCATGCCGGAGTTGCATTTTGTTATGTACCCTGCACACCTTACGAGATTATATGTACAGAGAATCCACTCACTGGTTATTTTCATTCCTATCTCAAATGCGATGCACCATATTGTTTGCCGTTACCTTGATCGTCTTGGTAAGATTAGCTATAGTGTATCTCCTGGTTGTTGCCATCGTCATTAATTAAGCCTGAAGCGAATACTACCGAGTTTGTAATCGGATTAATGATGTGAAATACTTCATTGTATGGCGTAAAAAGTAGTTTCGAGGCGTTCTCTTTCGTGTATAAAGTTGTCATTATTAAAAAGTGATCATATATATATGCGTATGTAATTGCCATTTGTTATCACGTCCAACATATATTCCCCGATCCTGATTACGAAATATGACGAATTTTTTTTAAGCATTATAATCTTGCTTTTTTTAATATTTATACACGAAAAAAATTAATTTTTGTTATATAATATTATTAATATATCGTTGACATCAAATATCGCGTATAAAATTGCAATCATCATCGTTTATTTGTTATAAAAATTTATGACTATTTATTATTCTAATTCTTATTTATTCTTATAAAGACAAGTATAAATAAATATTTTATTTGCACTTGTATTTATATATATTTGATTTAAAATGTAAGTTTTTATTTATGCATTATGCCTTTACATACTTATGTATTTTTTATAGTAGTATGTACTTTCTTAATTCGGATTTCTTGCTTGTCATGCTGGATCCAACTATGGCCTGAGCTATTTGGCACCTGTGATGTCAGGAGAGTAGAACGACCCTTCTTGAGACAACTTTCCGTTCTCGCGTACCGGACATTTCGGACGCGTCTAGATCTGCACAGATTGCACCCATGCTAGTTTCTATTCCTGACTGCCAAGTAATAATCTCTGTAGAACATTATGATAGCAATTCGTGCTAGTTCGTCCTTATGCATCCATACCAAATCTGCATTAATCTTCTTTATATAATCCCATATATTAAAAACATGTATAAAATATATATTACATATCCATATACTAATACTTTGTTATTTTCAAACATACAGATTTTATGTAAAATTAATTCATATTGAAATCTATGTATTATCTAATTATTATGCATTTTCATGTTATTTCATTAACGCAAATGAGAAATGTTTATTGCTATATAAAATATCCTAAATCCATATTTTTAAAAAGTAAAAATTATGCGTTACAGATCTTTCTCTTTTTATCTTCTACAAACAATCTTCATTTTTTAGAGATGTGGATTTAGAATAGTTTAAAAATAAATTCAAATGGGTAAGTTCTTTATGAAAGACAAATACTTGTAATCAGTAATAAGTATAAATATCCGAGATTCAAGTTGTTCCATAAGGCAGGTTAATGCGGATTGAAATTTACGAGATACCAAGATACGTTAAGATCCTAAGATGGAAATTGTGCAGGGGGAGCAGCTGTTTCTCAAACCCGATCGCTTAGCGACGTTGAAGCCCCATTACAAGAGTGAAAAGCTGCCGCAATACACGACCTTCAAGCCGAACAACTGAAGACTTTATACTATGTTTATTTTGTATACACGACAGAAAAAGCGAGATATGAAAAAAGAGCGAATGGAGGAACGACACAAAATCAAATACAAAACTGTAGTTTTACTTCCATCATCCTCAATTATTATGAGTGTGGAATATATCTAAGAGAACTGCATACACATATATGCTTGTAATATTATATTAACTATTCGTGTCGACGGGCGAATCCATGGTCGTGATCGAAAGACGCAAGAACGACGGAATTTTTTACTCTCAAAATATACTGCCAATGTCGAAAGTAAATGATTGATACGATCTCAGAACTAATCAAAGTAAAAACTACGCATATTTATAACGCTTACAATAATATTGTTAATAAAACAATGATTTTCATCAATTACTATTTTTACTGACTTAAGAGTAAGTAACTATAAGTATAGTGCATTTTATTATCTACAAGCTGAACATGAATAAATTAATCGGTATTGGCAACTATTATGCATATAAGTACGAAAAAATAAAAATGCCAGAATACAGCCGTTCAAAACTTAACGATTTTCCTGCCAAATTATGTTCACGATCTCACAAATAACACTTAGCTGTTATAAAATTTCTTATGAGATGATTTTATGGCAAAATTGAATTGCTGCTAGTAATATACATTCGACATCATTGTATTATAAATAAATTTGCAATACTGATTAAACAAAAAAGATTCCCCCATTTTCAATTTCAGAAATTGATAATTTCATTATGTAATCAAATATATAAATGTATAAATTATTACATTATCAAACCATTGTATATGCATCAATTTGTCGTACCAAAACAGGTACATAATTAATTCTATCTATTTCTGTATTTTGCTACATATCATTCTTTTTAATTATCTTGTATTATATAATATTTTGATATTATATATTGGTTTGTTGCATATGAAATGTCATATTCCAAATATTTTTTTTTTTTTGTTTTGTTTTATAACGCTTTATATGATCTTATATATGAATCAAATGTCATTTGATAAACATATATTACATATCATATTAAAGCAACATGATTCTTATGTAAAAAAATGTTTCTGTTTCTGCGAAACATTTATAATAATACGTAGCATGACGAAAAAGAGCACTATGCTCTGTGCGAGCGAGAGAGAACGCAAGGAGCACGAAACAGAGTATGTCTTTTTCTACGTGCATCTTTATCCCCACTCCTTAAATAAAGGCAAACGCTCGGTCTAGATATACTATATCTATGGTCTAGATATACTATGTCTATGGGTGCTACATACATTGTAGGCTTCTAAATACATTTTTAAACGTTCACCTATATTCTTTCATGCAATTCCGAAGACGAAGTTATTCGATTTTGCGCATACAAACTGCGTGATGTATATACTTTAATCGTGGAAAAGGATTTCTTATTTCATGTAACCAATAAAAAAATTTCGGTCTGCAAAGTAAATTATTATGGCCGGTAAAACAGGACGGTCCGGACAAAATATAAGATAGGTCTCCACTCGGAAATGCATGAAAAAAGAATATAAGTGAACATTTAGAAACGTGTTTAGAAGCCTAGTAAAAAAGATTACTGTCTACAAAATTTTTGTAGAGAGCAAACGCACAGTTCTCTACGCCACGATCGCACACATCACCTAAACATTCGATTCCTATTTTAAAATCAATCAGTCAAGATATATAACAAATACACAGCAAAATTTGATGAATGCAAGAGATACCAGTAATTGCAATGAAAATGCAATGAAAACTACGAAAAATATGAGAGCTGAGATAAATAAAGAAAAAATGCTATCAAATACGAAAACAGACGAAATGAAGTTTCCCAAAGAGCGTGACGCAATGTTAAAGCCTATACCATCTTCACAATCAAGTGGAGCAATAAAGTATAGGGAATATCTAAATTCCCATTTAAATAAAAGCTCCAACGGCAAAGTAAAAAGTAATTTAAGACAGAAAGACGATATAGGCTGCGTTCCAATATTCATTGCCAGTACTGGAAATCTATATAGTTTACGTCATGTGCACTATGTATTTTCAATACTGGCAGTGAATATCGGAACGCAGCCATAAATGCACTTCAGTAGATTTACAGTACAGAAAAGGAGAAACAGGTAAAAGATAAATAATTTGTATACGATTGTATATTTGTATGTTTATTAGTTTGAAAAATTCAAAATGTAGAAACGGAATATTTTTCCTCTCTTAATTATTAAAGTAATATAAAGTAATTAAAAAATCGCATATTTTCTTACACGTATAAATATTATTTTTACCATATCATGATAAAACTTAATAGCATTACGAAAAAATGTTATATATATATATAT